ACTATAAACCATATACATATATGTATATATATATATATATATATATATATATATATATATATATATATATATATATATATAAAAATATATATATATATATATACATATATATATATATACATAAATACGTATATGTATGTATATATAGTTGGGTGTTGGTTGACTAAGATGTCCTAAGTAGCACTTTGTCTTTGAGTGAAGTGGCTGTAAGCTGCACCTCTCTGGTACCACCGGTGTTGAGTGTAAGCCGAGGGCACACGTTGGCGGCAGGAAGAGCTGTATGAAGCGTCTCTATATAGCGGACTAATTTGTTACACGTTCAGGTCGCATCATTGGGCTTTACGATCCCCTGCAGGTGGGGGGGGGGGGGTGTAAGGGGGGGGGTGGCTCTGTGGGAATTAAAAGCCGTGAAGATGAATGCGGGGTGTACGGTGTTCGTACCTGGAGACCCCGGGCCGTACTCTACCGGTTCTGAGGAGCTGTTAGGTCTCGCTAGATTTTATTCTCGTCACTGGGATTGGGAGCTTGTCTGTTTACCTCCCTTGTGAGATCGTAACAATGGCAGAATTTATATTTTTCATATGGTATACTAGATCTGCTATTTCGACCGACATTTTTTTTTAGGGTGGGAGGTATATATTACTCTGACTATCGTTTGCTGTATATAAATATATATGTTTTTTTACATGCATAAAGTGGTGTTTAGATATGGTTTGGATTAATAATCAACAATAAGAACCGTTGTTTTTTTTCGACGAAAGCGAACCATATAATTGTTGTAATAAAGTAACCCTTTAAGCCTTACCTTTTTATATTTATTTCGCGATCCTCTCCAACACAATGAACCTCATCTGCTCGGGGGTTTGAACTCGAGACTTTCCGGTTTAGCAACCATGAGCTGTACCGGCTCAACAAAGCCGACCCCCTCGTGGTCAGCACTAAAGCCATCCGCCTTAATTAACTACTACTGGATCCGACACGACAGCTGAATGTATTCAGAAATGGCGCCCCGTGTTGACGTTACATATAATTATCTGAACTTTAACCCCTGACGCAAGGGACGGAGTGGTCTAGCGGTAGAGAGCTGGATTGCTAGCCCGTAAGTCTCGATTTCGAATCCGGGTTCAAGTCAGTTGACCGTCCCTGAGTCCACCCAACTCTTATGGGTACCTAACTCACGTTAGGGAAAGTAAAAGCGGCTGGGCATAGTGCTGACCACACTATCTCTTCATATGCCGAGGTCACAGAAACAAACTCTACTTCACTTGCCTCATAGACCGTCAGGTTTGAAAGGGAAACTTTACTTTTACTTTACTTAACCTCTGACGCAGTTGTGCTGACAAATCTGAATGGTTTTTTTTCTTCTTTTGCTTTATGCACTTCGGTACTGAGATTTAGAATGTCTGTCGCTAATCTGAATTTTTTTTTTTTTTTTTTTTTTTTGCTTTATGCATTTCTATACTTAAAATGTCTGTCACTAAAAACATTTCTGCTGACAAACACATGTCGCGATAACTTGTTTTTAAGCATGTGGTAGGAAGCTGGGTTAATTATTCTTTACATCAAAGCAGCATCCCACGCTGCGATGCTATTGTTGTTGCCGTGATTTTCATGTTGACTTGAAATTTGTTTCTATAAGAGCTCATTAAATATACAATGCTCATCGCTTGATTTGAAAGAGAAAAAAACAGTTATTTGGGTTTTTTTTAAAAAGCAAATTGTTTGTCTAAGGAGACTTAATTTTATCTGAGGCATCAAAACTGTTAGCATTTATGAATATCGTGTGTTCACCGTAATGGCGGTCATTCCCCAAACGTTGGTAGCAGACGTATGTTGAAAACGTCCAGTCAGTGCTTAACTAAACAAGTATGACCAACGTAATAAGACATCACCAACATAACAAGACATCACCAACATAGTGAGACATCACCAACATAACGAGACATCACCAACATATTGAGACATCACCAACATAGTGAGACATCACCAACATAATGAGACATCACCAACATAATGAGACATCACCAACTTAATGAGACATCACCAACATAATGAGACATTACCAACATAATGAGACATCACCAACATAATGAGACATCACCAACATAATGAGACATCACCAACATAATGAGACATCACCAACATAATGAGACATCACCAACATAATGAGACATCACCACCTTCTAAAAACAAATACCCATTTTTTTTAAAAATATAGTCTCGCTGGCTTTATTATTTAACTTATTAGTCCTTAATCAAATACCTGGGATAGGTTTATCAGTACCTATTCTAGCTAATCATTTTCTTTTTAGCTTTTTTAATTAGACCTTCCGAATACCGGAAGCGATTTATTCCCACCCATTCAATTTCCTACGTTAAAAACTCAAAAAGTAATTTTTTTTATTACTCAGCAATGTGACAGATATACCCAAACGCTAATCACGATTTTGTATTTATTCCAATCTAATTACTAGCACGGAGGTGCGCCATTTCCTGACTGTCATTACCTCCGATCTTTCCCCAGCTTAGTATTTCAGTGCATTGCAATCGCACGTAGCAATTAAAGTTTCATTGTATGCTCTATTATGGGAGAACTGTTTTCTTCAACTGAAATGTTCTTTAAAGTTAAAACGATGTGTTTTTTAAAGTGTTTAGTAATATTATATAATTAAAAATGATCTTTACTTTTTTTTTTTTTTTAGATTTGAGCTACATAAATTTAACAAAAAAAATATGTAATTAAAAAACGAACCAAAGAATGTTGAAAAACGAAATTACTACCGTGATAAAAAAAAAATTATTAAAATAACCTGACCGTGTTCTACCCCCAACACTTTGTCATTTATAAATGTCATGCTAGGTGGGAAGGGTTTCTCCCGTATCTGTAGGCGGGCCAGCGGGCTAGTCTTTTAATGCGGCTCGTAGCCAGCCACTCACAACCGGGTGTTGCTGCTAGTGTGCACTGCTATTTCCCAACTCCTGTCTTATCCCCGAGCCATCTCATCGTTAAATTTTTTAACATTTAGAGGAGGAGAGAAAGGAAAATCAATGTGACCCAGTTCTGTCGGAGATGGAGGTAAAGGTGGGGAGTCGAACAAAGAAAGTACTAGAAGGATCTGGTTTAATTATGTGTCTTTTATTTTAACTTAAATCATATCTGTGAAAAGTTAAAAAAAAAAAAAAAAGAAAAATTGTCGGAGATAGGTGTTAGAATTAGAACAAAAAAGTACTCTAAAAATTGTGTTTACTTATGTATCTTTTATTTTACCATAAATCCAATAAGCTAAAAGATGTTTTTTTAATAGATTTACTTTTTTAACTTTTTTTTTTTTTTTTTTGCGGACTTCAATGTTTTCTTCAGTCAGTAAATTTTTTTTCTAGTCAGGGGTGTTAACTCTTGCAGGTGTGGTAACTCTAATTAAAGATGTTTGTCTCCTGAGGCCGATAGCCCCCCAGTGTTGAGTGCGAACACTAGCAGATAGACGATAAAGCCTTGCCAAGGGTTAACACAAAATAGTTAACGATATTTAGCTCTGAGATACAAGACGGGTGTGAGGGGGTTAATTAGATTTGTACCATTTGAAATCTTAGCGGTCGTGTCAGAATTGTGACAGTTCGAATAAAGCCGTGCTCACAATCATAATCGTAGGCAGGGGGTATTAGTGGAATGGGAGTGGGGGGAACGACACCCCCGCCCCCCAATAAACAAAAAAAACCCGTTAAGTTACTGCAATAGACGTCTGCGCGCACGTATGGAATTGTTATAATGCCATTCTAGTAAAACATAAAACCACAGTTGTACGTTATTAAAATATTGCTGTGGTAATGATATATATATATATATATATACACACACACATATATATATATATATATATATATATATATATACATACATATATATATATATATATATATATATATATATATATATATATATATATATATATATATATATATATATATATATAAATATATATATATACATACATATATATATATATATATGTGTGTGTATATATGTGTGTGTATATATGGGGGTTGCTGCTGATGGGTAGGTGGGTAAAAAGTACAGTATAATTTCTATTATGACGGTTTCAAAGACATGAAGGGATAATGTGGTCATCACTATGCCCAGCCCCCTTAACTTTCCCTAACATGAGTCGGGTAACCATCAGAGCTGTGTGTACTCATCTCCACACCCAGTAGCAAAAATCCTGCCCCCGCCACTGCACACATTACAGTGCTTCTTGCATTGTGACAGTTTGAATAAAGTAGGACACACTTCTTCTGTTTCTACCTCTGAGCAGTGTATACATACTTAAAGATGCATGTGTGTGTGTGTGAGCAAAACGTTCCAGTGTCTTGCCACCTGTGTTTTTTTTATTTGCGAGATTACTTGAACATTTGTATCAGCATCATCATTATTTCCTGTTCCTGCCCTCGACACATTGGACAGATGAAGTAGAGTTCATCTGTTTCAATGATATCAGAATACAAGGGGACATTGTTGTCAGCACTATACCCAGCCGCCTTTGTTGCCCTCTTGTCCTTAATATGAGCCCGGTACAGAGGCGTAGCTAGGGGAGGGCGGGTGGGGCGGACCCAAATGGGAAGAACCAGCATGAATAACTATAGCCTGTATATAAATGGGAGAGTGGGGGGGGGGGGGGGCGTAAAATTGATAGTTCGCCCCGGGCGCCAGAATGGGTCGCTACGCCATTGGTCAGGTACCCTTCAGAGTCGGACGGACTCAGTGAAGTCTGACGACCTCGAGCCCTGGATCGGAACTTTCGGGTTAGCCATCGTCAGCTCTACAATCCGACCACACCTTTCCCATGTGTCCTACGTGTTTCATAGACTCGACTTGCTTCCTTTCAGCCGAGGAAAGTTGTGACTAGCAATCCAACCACACCTTTCCCATGTGTACTACGTGTGTTTCATAGACTGGACTTATTCCTTTCAGTGTGTGTTTCATAGACTGAACTTATTCCTTTCAGCCTAGGAAAGCTGTGACCAGCGGAGTGTGTATGAGGATCAACACTGGCGCCCCAGTGCCCAGTGGAGCTGATGCTGTCGTTCAGGTGGAGGACACGGAGCTGGTGGAGGCGTCCATAGATGGTAAAACAGAGATACAGGTCAAGATCTTGACCTTTCCAACTGTTGGTCAGGACATTAGGTACGCCTCACATTTCTATAGATATAAGCATATGCACTGTTTATTAGATATGTTTGGAGCACTGAACTTTCCATCCAATAACAGGGAGTATGTAAAGTTCCCTTATAAACCTGGAGCATTAAGTAGCGTTCACCTGTTTCTGTGACCTCGACATATGAAGGGATAGTGTAGTCAGCACTATGCTCTCCCTCTTATTGTGAGTCATGTACCCAGAGCTTGGTGGACCCAGGGACATTCTACTGACTTGAGCCTAGATTTGAGCTTGAGATTTTCATGTTAGCAGTTGTATGCGTCACTATTCGACCATGCTGTCCCATTGTAAGAGGTAGTAGTTACCCTTTTGTAAGTGGTGTTCAGTAGAGTAGATGAAGTAGAGCTCACCTGATTCTGTGACCTCTTCATTAAAGGAATAGTATAGTCAGTTATGTGCGTAAGTCAGGTACCCATAAGTGCAGCAAATCCTAATAGCTTAATAGCTATATAACTGAACTTGAAACATTCAGGCAAGTAGTTATGCATTCTACCGTCCAACCACACCATCCCATTGTTCACTCCAACATTGATATACAATATTTTTTGGAAAGCGTTTTTTTTTCAGTATGTGTCAGACTTGATAATGGGAAATAAACACCAAATAAAATACTTAATTTCAATAAAAAGCTTTTTTTATCCAATACACAGTTATCTATCTATCTAATACTACTAAAAGTCAAGTTTGTTTACATGTTTGAATATTTATTTTTTTGTTTGTTTGTCCGATCGAGTTTTGTGATATGTTCGACTCTATCTGGAGAGCTGTAAAATAGTATGTAGGTAGAGAATAATTTTTTAATGCAGACAGACTGTTAATCACAAATTTATTTAAAGACGTTAATTAATTTATTGATTTATTCATACGTAGAGTAACCCATTTTTTTTTAAAATGTTAAAACATTGACTAAACTTTGTGGGAATAGTGACGTCACAGGTTTTTGTTTACTCTTTAGTACAATAAAATGGCGGCGTCTATCGAAGAAAATTGTGTTCCCATTCAAAAGTTTAACGCGTTCTAAATCTAATTTTCTGTCGGTCATAACTTTAACAATACGTCCGTTTGCTGTATTTATTACGTTCCAACACTTATATCAATTTTAAACTGTCTTTTTTCATTTAGTTTTACAATAAATTTCTCTAGATCTAAAGATCAGCTGTCGAAGGAAAGTTATGAATCTAGCCTAGATCTAGGTCACTAGACTCAATGTAAATTCTAGATCTAGACTTAATGTAAATTCTACATCTAGAATCTATTTCAGGCCTTAATACATCTAGAATCTATTTCAGGCCTTAATTATTTTATATAAATGATTGTTTGGCTAATTTAAGATAAAATTTAATTTGAAAGTTACTAGATTCTACTACTAGACTTAGATCTAGATCTATGCGCGGAGACTCAAAAGTATAGTATAAAAATTCATTTGTGACGTCACGAGTAAATAGCTAAGTTGGTAGCGTAGTCCGCTCTCATGCGGGTGGCACAGGTTCTAGACCAATATGTCAATGATATTTTTTTTCAATTTTTTTTTTTTTAGATGTGAATGATAAAGTTGCCTATCTGAACTTGGCAGGATACAGGGCAGGTGAAGTAGAGTTCATCTGTTTCTTTGTCCTAAGCATATGAAAGGATAGTGTGGTCAGAGACATGCTCGGCTGGAATCGTTTTTTAAACGATAAAAACATGTTGTCTGAGACTTGGCGGGACACTGGGCAGGTGAAGTAGAGGAGTAGGTCACATGTGACGTCAGTATATGAAGGGATAGTCCGAAATCGGTGTTTTCGGTGTTTTTAAAAGATAAGAAACATATTTTTGAATGTGGGGTCTGTTTTTTGTGACGATAAGTGACACTGCAGTAGCGTAGCGAGGAGGGGAGGGGGGGGGGGGGAAGGGGAGGCGGGGGGAGGTGGAGGGGGGGCGGGGGGACATATGTTGGGGCGCCAAAATGGTTTGGAAAAATAAATTGAAAGGTTGAGGGGGGTTCAAATCGAAAGTTTGAGTGGGGGGGGGGGTGCACATCAAAAGTTTGAAGGGGGGGGGGTTGAAAATCGAAATCTTGGGGGGGGGGGGGGTTAAAATCGAAAAGTTTGTCCCCGGGCGCCGGGAAGGGTCGCTATGCCTCTGAGTGACAGACGTGATGTTTTTTTATGGATGACCCCCGAAACCCACAGTTATCCAACGGATGACGGGTATTCTAGTATACTACTAAAAGTCAAGTTTGTTTACATGTTTGAATATTTATTTGTTTGTTTGTCCGATCGAAAATTGTGATATGTTCGACTCTATCTGGAGAGCTGTAAAATAGTATGTAGGTAGAGAATAATTTTTTAATGCAGACAGACTGTTAATCACAAATTTATTTAAAGACGTTAATTAATTAATTGATTTATTCATACGTAGAGTAACCCATTTTTTTTTAAAATGTTAAAACAAACCACTAAACTTTGTGGGAATAGTGACGTCACAGGTTTTTGTTTACTCTTTAGTACAATAAAATGGCGGCGTCTATCGAAGAAAATTGTGTTCCCATTCAAAAGTTTAACGCGTTCTAAATCTAATTTTCTGTTGGTCATAACTTTAACAATACGTCCGTTTGCTGTATTTATTACGTTCCAACACTTATATCAATTTTAAACTGTCTTTTTTCATTTAGTTTTACAATAAATTTCTCTAGATCTAAAGATCAGCTGTCGAAGGAAAGTTATGAATCTAGCCTAGATCTAGATCTAGCCTAGATCTAGGTCACTAGACTCAATGTAAATTCTAGATCTAGACTTAATGTAAATTCTACATCTAGAATCTATTTCAGGCCTTAATACATCTAGAATCTATTTCAGGCCTTAATACATCTAGAATCTATTTCAGGCCTTAATTATTTTATATAAATCTTTGTTTGGCTAATTTAGATAAAATTTAATTTGAAAGTTACTAGATTCTACTACTAGACTTAGATCTAGATCTATGCGCGGAGACTCAAAAGTATAGTATAAAAATTCATGTGTGACGTCACGAGTAAATAGCTAAGTTGGTAGCGTAGTCCGCTCTCATGCGGGTGGCACAGGTTCTAGACCAATATGTCAATGATATTTTTTTTCAATTTTTTTTTTTTAGATGTGAATGCTAAAGTTGCCTATCTGAACTTGGCAGGATACAGGGCAGGTGAAGTAGAGTTCATCTGTTTCTTTGTCCTAAGCATATGAAAGGATAGTGTGGTCAGAGACATGCTCGGCTGGAATCGTTTTTTAAACGATAAAACCATGTTGTCTGAGACTTGGCGGGACACTGGGCAGGTGAAGTAGAGTTGAGTAGGTCACATGTGACGTCAGTTTATGAAGGGATAGTCCGAAATCGGTGTTTTCGGTGTTTTTAAAAGATAAGAAACATATTTTTGAATGTGGGGTCTGTTTTTTGTGACGATAAGTGACACTGCAGTAGCGTAGCGAGGAGGGGGGCGGGAGGGGAGGCGGGGGGGGGGAAGGGGAGGCGGGGGGGGGAGGGGAGGTGGAGGGGGGCGGGGGGGGGACATATGTTGGGGCGCCAAAATGGTTTGGAAAAATAAATTGAAAGGTTGAGGGGGGTTCAAATGGAAAGTTTGAGTGTGGGGGGGGGGGGGGTGCACATCAAAAGTTTGAGGGGGGGGGGGTTGAAAATCGAAATCTTGGGGGGGGGGGTTCAAATCGAAAAGTTTGTCCCCGGGCGCCGGGAAGGGTCGCTATGCCTCTGAGTGACAGACGTGATGTTTTTTGATGGATGACCCCCGAAGCCCACAGTTATCCAACGGATGACGGGTATTCTAGTTTTATTTTTAAAAATATAAACATTTTGTGCCTGATTGCAATTCAAAAGTAGGAAGTCTATCTAACAATTGTAGGTATGATATTACATGTGTTTTTATGTTTACAACTGTAGCTAGTTGTTTGTTTAAAACAGTCTGGGTACAATCTGTTTGACCATTGCTGTTCCAGGCCCACTGGATCTGATATTGAACAGGGTCAAGAGATTCTTTGTGCGGGTCAGCGGCTGGGTCCAGCAGAGCTGGGTCTTCTAGCAACGGTTGGTGTCACCAGTGTCCAGTGTTATGGGCTGCCAGTGGTTGGGGTGCTGTCCACTGGAAATGAAGTGAGTTTTTTTTTTTTTTTTTTTTTTTTTTTACTTTGTTTAGTTTCAGTCATCAACATTCTTGTGGCACTATTGTGGAGCATCAGACTGCGTGGTCGAATAGTTTTGAGTTCTGATTTCAAGGCTTAAGTCTGTAGGATGTCCCTGAGCCCACCCAGCTGTAATGGGTACCTGACTCATGTTAGGGAAAGTAAAAGTAGATGGGCATAGTGTTATAACTGCTGTGTTCTATATGTGTACCACAGTTATGCAGTGAGAGGGTACAACTACCTGATCCAATACCATCTTTCCATATCACCACCATTTGATTATGTTTAGCTATCCTACAGTATATCTTGGGACACGACGACATCAACGCTACGAATGATTTAACAGAATGACATCGGTTACTAACTCTATTTATTGCACAATAAATAATGGGCATCGGACAGCTTGGACAAACGATACTACAACTAGACAACCTAACTCTAACATCACACGGACAAGACTCACTTCAATCTTCTTCCCCGGCAACAACGGAACTCACACTAAAACGTCACTTTCTTGCGTACAGCGTCACACACTCACTCGTTCAATATACGGTCGCACCATCAATCCTGCGCACCGATCTCTCAAGTCAAACATGCATCATAACATTACCCCCCTCTCCATTTAAGCTAATCACATTAGCTTTATTTATTACTTCAATAATACAACATTCTGTTTTACCTAACAATGGCAACTATGGTAGCATTCACACATAGACCTTAAAGACTAGACAATTTTAACCAATTCTTGAAGTTTCAGTTCAGTTCATTTCTCCGCGCGCACAAACATATTTTGACGATTCTGCAAAGTATACATCTCAGATCACCAGTTGGGTACACATCCTACAATCACACTTCACGTAAAGGCCAGGATTCCATACAATGTCGACCCAAACATCACCTTAGTTGTACTGAAAAGAAATTATTTCTAACGGAAAACAACATGTCACTACTACTCGGTTATCATTATCTAACATAGTCTCTCTAACCTAATGTATTAGACTTAATCTAATGTAGTACCTCTTCTGTTAACTACGCTACTTTATTTATATAATAAATCACATCTCACGCGTTAATTTAGTACTAAGTAATTAAGTAACCACATCAAATTTCATAAATCACTTTATCACCTGCATATATTCATCTCCTGTTTCAATGACATGTACCAATAATAATTCTTAACATCTTCAGTAACCAAATACGATATCACATAGAGGAATATTTTCCCTAGAACCCTTAAATCCATGTCCAGGTACTCGGTACATCCTCGAGCTACCCACAAAAAAAAAATCTGACTGCATCCTCAGTCTTGAAATCAACTAACTACCGATGAAGCAACCGACCAACGAACTATCCCCCTGCTGGCCGGGTGACGACACCAAATTATCATAAAACAACATTATCCTAATCTACTGGGTTCCTTACGCTAAGAAAACAAACCTCATAGAATAACATATCATCACATATAATAAATTGAAAATCATATTATTATAATAAATCAAATCCAGATCATAGTGACATCATCTTGTCAACAACATAACACCGCCCTCAAACCGGCGTGTCTACATTATCTATAACAATATCAATTATCACTAATACTGATCTCTTACTTATCATACAACAACCCTCATTAGCATAACACAGCAATGGGCTCACAATACCTACAGCCCCTGCTTAACCACTACAATTTTTTGTTTCACTAGGACGTAATAGAAAAAATAATGTACATGCCTACTACTTAAAAAATATATGAAGAGGTACTACTTATCTAATTTGTAGAACTTGGGCATCATCGTCGGCTTCATGACACAACACACACTTCCCACACAGATCCCCTTGTCCTTCACAACACAGGTCCTCCCAGCACGGTCTTCACGTCAGGGTCCTCACAACACGGTCATCACATGTTCTCCCCACACGGTTCTTCATGGCACGGGTCCTCACATCAAGGGTCATAACGGCATGGGTCATCAGAGCACGGGTCTTCTTAGAACTGGTCTTCATACGTATGTCTTCAAACACGGGTCTTCTTAGCACGGGTCTTCAAACACGGATCTTCTTAGCACGGGTCTTCAAACACGGGTCTTCTTAGCACGGGTCTTCACACACGATTTTCACAATAATAGTCCATATATCACAGAGACATAGTCCGTACGAAAATTATGTCGATGGAACTTGACTGATTAGACACTGATAGCGTTTTCTGACTAGATTCTAGATGTTATTTCCGCCGACTAGCTTCTAAGTGCTTTTAAGTTACTTCGCCTTGCAATACTACTTCATGCTGTTATACTGCTTGAGCTGTCTTCATTCTGTTATAGCTGCTTCGTGTTACTATAGCTGTTTCACGTTAATACTGCTCCACCATGTTATAACTGCTGTGTTCTATATGTGTACCACAGTTATGCAGTGAGAGGGTACAACTACCTGATCCAATACCATCTTTCCATATCACCACCATTTGATTATGTTTAGCTATCCTACAGTATATCTTGGGACACGACGACATCAACGCTACGAATGATTTAACAGAATGACATCGGTTACTAACTCTATTTATTGCACAATAAATAATGGGCATCGGACAGCTTGGACAAACGATACTACAACTAGACAACCTAACTCTAACATCACACGGACAAGACTCACTTCAATCTTCTTCCCCGGCAACAACGGAACTCACACTAAAACGTCACTCTCTTGCGTACAGCGTCACACACTCACTCGTTCAATATACGGCCGCACCATCAATCCTGCGCACCGATCTCTCAAGTCAAACATGCATCATAACACATAGTGCTGACTACATTATCCCTGCATATGCTCGTCGAACTGACCACACTATCCTCTCCATCTGCTATGTTGAATGTCAGATGTGAAAGGTGAACTATGCTTTAGTTCTCCACTGGTTCTAATTGGTAAAAGACATAAATAGCTTTAAGTGATTAAACTGCTGAAGATTGTCCTATCTATGGAGTTAACCATTGTTCTAATCCTGATTAGCTAATTGAGCCCCATGCTGCACTCACTGAAGGAAAGATTCGAGACAGCAACAGAACCACCTTGTTGAACCAGCTGAGAGAGAACAGGATCCCCACAGTGGACTTGGGCATAGTTGTAGACTCGTGAGTAGATTGTTGAGGCTGTAGACATACATGTATGTAGGCATAGTTGTAGACTCGTGAGTACTTTGTTGAGACTGTAGACATACATGTATGTGGGCATAGTTGTAGACTCGTGAGTAGATTGTTGAGACTGTAGACATACATGTATGTAGGCATAGTTGTAGACTCGTGAGTAGATTGTTGTGGCTGTAGACATACATTTATGTGTGCATAGTTGTAGACTCGTGAGTAGATTGTTGTGGCTGTAGACATACATTTATGTGTGCATAGTTGTAGACTCGTGAGTAGATTGTTGTGGCTGTAGACATATATGTATGTAGGCATAGTTGTAGACTCGTGAGTACTTTGTTGAGGCTGTAGACATACATGTATGTGGGCATAGTTGTAGACTCGTGAGTACTTTGTTGAGGCTGTAGACATACATGTATGTGGGCATAGTTGTAGACTCGTGAGTAGATTGTTGTGGCTGTAGACATACATTTATGTGGGCATAGTTGTAGACTAGTGAGTAGATTGTTGTGGCTGTAGACATACATGTATGTGGGCATAGTTGTAGACTCGTGAGTAGATTGTTGTGGCTGTAGACATACATGTATGTGGGCATAGTTGTAGACTCGTGAGTACTTTGTTGAGGCTGTAGACATACATGTATGTGGGCATAGTTGTAGACTCGTGAGTAGATTGTTGTGGCTGTAGACATACATGTATGTGGGCATAGTTGTAGACTCGTGAGTACTGCGTTGTGGCTGTAGACATACATGTATGTGGGCATAGTTGTAGACTCGTGAGTACTTTGTTGAGGCTGTAGACATACATGTATGTGGGCATAGTTGTAGACTAGTGAGTACTTTGTTGAGGCTGTAGACATACATGTATGTGGGCATAGTTGTAGACTCGTGAGTACTGCGTTGTGGCTGTAGACATACATGTATGTGGGCATAGTTGTAGACTCGTGAGTACTGCGTTGTGGCTGTAGACATACATGTATGTGGGCATAGTTGTAGACTCGTAAGTACTTTGTTGAGTCTTTAGACATACATGTATGTGGGCATAGTTGTAGACTAGTGAGTAGATTGTTGTGGCTGTAGACATACATGTATGTGGGCATAGTTGTAGACTAGTGAGTAGATTGTTGAGGCTGTAGACATACATGTATGTGGGCATAGTTGTAGACTCGTGAGTACTTTGTTGAGGCTGTAGACATACATGTATGTGGGCATAGTTGTAGACTAGTGAGTAGATTGTTGTGGCTGTAGACATACATGTATGTGGGCATAATTGTAGACTAGTGAGTAGATTGTTGTGGCTGTAGACATACATGTATGTGGGCATAGTTGTAGACTCGTAAGTACTTTGTTGAGACTGTAGACATACATGTATGTGGGCATAGTTGTAGACTCGTGAGTACTGCGTTGTGACTGTAGACATACATGTATGTAGGCATAGTTGTAGACTAGTGAGTAGATTGTTGAGGCTGTAGACATACATGTATGTAGGCATAGTTGTAGACTCGTGAGTACTTTGTTGAGGCTGTAGACATACATGTATGTGGGCATAGTTGTAGACTCGTGAGTACTGCGTTGTGGCTGTAGACATACATGTATGTGGGCATAGTTGTAGACTAGTGAGTACTTTGTTGAGTCTTTAGACATACAAGTATGTGTGCATAGTTGTAGACTCGTGAGTAGATTGTTGTGGCTGTAGACATACATGTATGTAGGCATAGTTGTAGACTCGTGAGTAGATTGTTGTGGCTGTAGACATACATGTATGTAGGCATAGTTGTAGACTCGTGAGTACTTTGTTGAGGCTGTAGACATACATGTATGTGGGCATAGTTGTAGACTCGTGAGTAGATTGTTGAGGCTGTAGACATACATGTATGTGGGCATAGTTGTAGACTCGTGAGTACTTTGTTGAGGCTGTAGACATACATGTATGTGGGCATAGTTGTAGACTCGTGAGTAGATTGTTGAGGCTGTAGACATACATTTATGTGTGCATAGTTGTAGACTCGTGAGTAGATTGTTGTGGCTGTAGACATACATGTATGTAGGCATAGTTGTAGACTCGTGAGTAGATTGTTGTGGCTGTAGACATACATGTATGTAGGCATAGTTGTAGACTCGTGAGTAGATTGTTGAGGCTGTAGACATACATGTATGTAGGCATAGTTGTAGACTCGTGAGTACTTTGTTGAGACTGTAGACATACATGTATGTGGGCATAGTTGTAGACTCGTGAGTAGATTGTTGAGGCTGTAGACATACATGTATGTGTGCAAAGCTGTAGATTTGTGAGTAGATTGTTGAGTCTGTAGACATTTAAGTAAATAGGGTGTATTTGTGGGTGGCTGTGTACAACTGGATTTCTGTACAAGCACATGTTTGTACATGTGGATATGTGAAAAAATTGCAATTGTGTCCACATGGATATGTAAAACAGTACATCTGCATATCAGTGGATATGTGACAGTGTATATTACAAGTGCATACACAATAGAAATTTATATAATCATGTGTAAAACATGATGCATATCCAAGTGTATATGTGTACTTGATTGTGTACAATAGGATATATGTACAAGTTGGTGTGTGTATAATTGTATGTCTGTACTACTTGGTGCATACAACTGGATGTGTGTACAGGTGTTGTGTACAAGCAAATGTACATATAAGTATGTATTAAGATCACCAAGTGTACCCCATCTCTCCACAGACCAGATGCCCTAGTCCAGAAGCTGACAGAAGCCCTGGAGACTGTGGACATTATTGTCACAACTGGGGGCGTGTCCATGGGAGACAAGGATTACCTCAAGCAGGTGCTCCAGGTGGACTTCAAGGCACAGCTCCATTTCGCCAGGGTCCTTATGAAACCTGGGTAAGTTGATGCTGCTGGAAATGTATCCATTTCGCCAGGGTCCTTATGAAACCTGGGTAAGTTGATGCTGGAAATGTATCCATTTCGCCAGGGTCCTTATGAAACCTGAGTAAGTTGATGCTGGAAATGTATCCATTTCGCCAGGGTCCTTATGAAACCTGGGTAAGTTGATGCTGGAAATGTATCCATTTCGCCAGGGTCCTTATGAAACCTGGGTAAGTTGATGCTGCTGGAAATGTATCCATTTCGCCAGGGTCCTTATGAAACCTGGGTAAGTTGATGCTGGAAATGTATTCATTTTGCCAGGGTCCTTATGAAACCTGGGTAAGTTGATGCTGGAAATGTATCCATTTCGCCAGGGTCCTTATGAAACCTGGGTAAGTTGATGCTGGAAATGTATCCATTTTGCCAGGGTCCTTATGAAACCTGGGTAAGTTGATGCTGGAAATGTATCCATTTCGCCAGGGTCCTTATGAAACCTGGGTAAGTTGATGCTGGAAATGTATCCATTTTGCCAGGGTCCTTATGAAACCTAGGTAAGTTGATGCTGGAAATGTATCCATTTCGCCAGGGTCCTTATGAAACCTGGGTAAGTTGATGCTGGAAATGTATCCATTTTGCCAGGGTCCTTATGAAACCTGGGTAAGTTGATGCTGGAAATGTATCCATTTCGCCAGGGTCCTTATGAAACCTGGGTAAGTTGATGCTGGAAATGTATCCATTTCGCCAGGGTCCTTATGAAACCTGGGTAAGTTGATGCTGGAAATGTATCCATTTTGCCAGGGTCCTTATGAAACCTGGGTAAGTTAATGCTGGAAATGTATCCATTTCGCCAGGGTCCTTATGAAACCTGGGTAAGTTGATGCTGGAAATGTATCCATTTCGCCAGGGTCCTTATGAAACCTGGGTAAGTTGATGCTGGAAATGTATCCATTTCGCCAAGGTCCTAATGAAACCTGGGTAAGTTGATGCTGGAAATGTATCCATTTTGCCAGGGTCCTTATGAAACCTGGGTAAGTTGATGCTGGAAATGTATCCATTTCGCCAGGGTCCTTATGAAACCTGGGTAAGTTGATGCTGGAAATGTATCCATTTCGCCAGGGTCCTTATGAAACCTGGGTAAGTTGATGCTGGAAATGTATCCATTTTGCCAGGGTCCTGATGAAACCTGGGTAAGTTGATGCTGGAAATGTATCCATTTTACCAGGGTCCTTATGAAACCTGGGTAAGTTGATGCTGGAAATGTATCCATTTCGCCAGGGTCCTTATGAAACCTGGGTAAGTTGATGCTGGAAATGTATCTATTTTGCCAGGGTCCTTATGAAACCTGGGTAAGTTGATGCTGGAAATGTATCCATTTCGCCAGGGTCCTTATGAAACCTGGGTAAGTTGATGCTGGAAATGTATCCATTTCGCCAGGGTCCTTATGAAACCTGGGTAAGTTGATGCTGGAAATGTATCCATTTCGCCAGGGTCCTTATGAAACCTGGGTAAGTTGATGCTGGAAATGTATCCATTTCGCCAGGGTCCTTATGAAACCTGGGTAAGTTGATGCTGGAAATGTATCCATTTCGCCAGGGTCCTTATGAAACCTGGGTAAGTTAATGCTGGAATGTTTGGGGTGTTAAGTGTGGAGTATACATGTAAGCTCTTGGTAGTATTCAGAGATGGGTGCCATTCAGAAATGGAGGGGGGGGGGGGGATAGTGTGGCTTAGTGGTAGAGCATTAGACTGCTAACCTAAAGCCTCGAGTTCAAATCTGGGTTCAAGTCAGTAGAACATCCCTAAGTCTACACAACTCTGATGGGTAGACGTTAGGGAAAGTAAAGACCGCTGGACATAGTGCTGACCACACTATCTCTTCATATGCTGAGCTCACAGAAACAAGTGAACTGTACTTGCCCCGTGGACCGTCAGATTCGCAACGGAACCTTACTTTTACCATTCTTCAGAGGCAGTACCCGTTCAATGATGGGTTCAATTCGGGTGCCATTTAGAGCTGGGTACCATTCAGAAATGGGTTCCATTATGTGCAGGTTACCATTTAGAGACGGGTACCCTATACAACTGAGTGTTCTTTAGACTTGCTGTGAAAAAATATTCTCAACCTAGAATCTTCAGGCTAATGATTACTCGGTTTCTTCATTGTTAAAATGATTATACATAGATCTATGTGGCAGCTGATTCGTCTCCTATCTAATGCCTTACAGTGTAGTCCAATTTTTGTGTGTGACACGGGACCACAAGGCATATGCCATGCCACCAGTGTTTCTTCCAAATTTTTTTCTCCGGGTGGAGGGGGGGGGCGGTAGACTTTCTTCGGGGGGGGGGGGGGGGCGCTACACCTCCCCCCCCCCCCCGAAGAGATGCCTGGAAGAAACTCTGCATGCCACTGACATAATTCATTTGTCACTGCAATATGGCACTGACATGTTACTGACATGATTCTCTTACTGCAATAAATAATATGCCTCTGTTAAAAAGCCAACGCCTTTAACATGGAGTTCGATAAAAACAAAAAAGCTATAAATAGGTTTAGACCTCAATATTTTATATCTTAACGCCTTATTAGGTCAGCCACCTCTTGCATAGGTATTCGGCAGTGTTCTATATTTAGACTCGGGGAAAATCCAATAGTCGGCCACTTGGATGCACTCAGTTGAAGTTAATACCGAAGAGAATGTTAGTTTTATTTTTAGAATCATCAGCTCCAACATGCATGTAAGACATTAGCGGTGTGTGGGTGTTGTCTCATGTCAACAACCTTTCAGCTTTTAAAAAGTAAAGAATTAAGAGGTTTTTTAAATTAAGAGTTTTTAAACAAGTAAAGAATTATTTTTTTTTAAAGTAAAGAATTAAGAGTTGTTACAAATTTGCAAAGCATATAGAGTTTGAAACAAGTAAAGAACTGAGTATTTAAAAAGTCAAGAATTGAGTATTTAAAAAGTCAAGAATTGAGTATTTAAAAAGTCAAGAATTTAAGGTTTTTTTTTTAAATAAAGAATTGAGAGTTTTGAAACGGGTTAAGAATTGGATAGATTAAAAGAGTTAAGAGGGGTTTTATAAAGTCAAGTATTGGTTGGTTTTTAAAAAGTTAAGAATTGAGGGGGTCTTACAAAAACAATATACATAATTTGGAAGGTGGAGGGGATTTAAAAAGTTAAGAATTAATTGTTTTAGAAAGTAAAGAATTGAGGGGGTGCCTTAAAGGTAAAGAATTGATGCGTTTGAAAAAAAAAATACGTATGGGTTTCTTTAAAAATATAAAGCTTTCGTGAATATTTTTCTTTAAATGTAAGAGTTTTTTTTAATGAATAATTGTGAGGTTTAATAAGTAAAGAATGAAATGGTAAAAAAAAAAAAAAAAAACCGTTGAGGGTTTAGAAGATCCAAAGACGTGAGAACCTCCACATCGTGTTGGTGTACACGGGCATTAAGGGGAAACAACTCGTTGTTGTTTAAAGGTTAAGAACGGTGTGGAGAGAGACACCACGTGGATAGCTAGCTGGAGTGACATCACGGAAAACAAAGCCAAGTGCTGGGTGGGGGGGGGGGGGGATGGGGGGGGGGGACTGGTGTACTGAGTGCATTGCTGCATTTAGCGGTGTAAAAAAACAACATTGATCGGGCAACGCTCCGGTGGTGATGGATGGGTAACATCTTCACCAGGTGGATTAGTAGGATTAATGCGCTCCCCTAATTACAGGGAAATTTTAATGTAGAAACCTCTTGCTGGTGGGGGATGTAACATTTTCACCAGGTGGATTAGTAGGATTAATGCGCTTCCCCAATTACAGGGAAATTTTAATGTAGAAACCTCTTGCTAGTTGGGGATGTAACATCTTCACCAGGTGGATTAGTAGGATTAATGCGCTTCCCCAATTACAGGGAAATTTTAATGTAGAACCTCTTGCTAGTGGGGGATGTAACATCTTCACCAGGTGGATTAGTTGGATTAATGCGTTTCTCCAATTACAGGGAAATTTTAATGTAGAAACCTCTTGCTGGTGGGGGATGTAACATCTTCACCAGGTGGATTAGTAGGATTAATGCGCTTCCCCAATTACAGGGAAATTTTAATGTAGAAACCTCTTGCTGGTAGGGGATGTAACATCTTCACCAGGTGGATTAGTAGGATTAATGCGCTCCCCCAATTACAGGGAAATTTTAATGTAGAAACCTCTTGCTAGTGGGGGATGTAACATCTTCACCAGGTGGATTAGTAGGATTAATGCGTTTCCCCAATTACAGGGAAATTTTAATGTAGAAACCTCTTGCTGGTGGGGGATGTAACATCTTCACCAGGTGGATTAGTAGGATTAATGCGCTTCCCCAATTACATGGAAATTTTAATGTAGAAACCTCTTGCTTGTGGGGGATGTAACATCTTCACCAGGTGGATTAGTAGGATTAATGCGCTTCCCCAATTACAGGGAAATTTTTATGTAGAAACCTCTTGCTAGTGGGGGATGTAACATCTTCACCAGGTGGATTAGTAGGATTAATGCGTTTCCCCAATTACAGGGAAATTTTAATGTAGAAACCTCTTGCTGGTGGGGGATGTAACATCTTCACCAGGTGGATTAGTAGGATTAATGCGCTTCCCCAATTACATGGAAATTTTAATGTAGAAACCTCTTGCTTGTGGGGGATGTAACATCTTCACCAGGTGGATTAGTAGGATTAATGCGCTTCCCCAATTACAGGGAAATTTTTATGTAGAAACCTCTTGCTGGTGGGGGATGTAACATCTTCACCAGGTGGATTAGTAGGATTAATGCGCTCCCCCAATTACAGGGAAATTTTAATGTAGAAACCTCTCGCTAGTGGGGGATGAATTTTTTAAAAAAAAAGGTATGAATAAAAAAAAGGTGAGCTTTAATGTTATAATTATGTTACCTGGGTTACCTGAATGATTGTGTCTATCCTTAAGACGGGGCTGGTTTTTTTTTTAATATACACCACACACATGTATACCACACACACTATACGGGCACACA